AACTTAGCACTTACATACGTCGGCCTAGGCCTATCTCTAGGACCAATATCTATCTCCTCTAATTCATCGGCCGACGTAAAGCCATGTCCTAGTTTACCATCCGTACCATCTATTGGATTATCTATTAAAACAAACTCTCAGAGCTGACTACTTGGATTGGCTATTGGCTTTCATCATTGATCTTAATAAAGCCTTCTTCCCAGTGCTTGCAAGAAAAACACTCGAAATCTTCTAGTTCCCAATACATTGGGTCAGTTGTTGCTATACTCACAGAATCATCAGCATGAACCAGCTCAACATCATCTCTATGCCACTGAATCAAGCATTGATGCATAGTCGATGGTACACAACAATTTGCATGAATCCAATCATGACCAAGGAGTAAACTGTATGAACCCTTTCCATCAATGACAAAGAATGTAGTGAGCAAAGTCTTACTTCCAATTGTTAATTCAATATTTATTGCCCCTGGTCTTGGATGCATTACCCTCAAAATCTTTAAGCATCATGTCAGTCTCAATCAAATCTCCTAGTCCTTTACCAAGCTTACGAAAAGTAGTATAAGACATAAGATTAACAGAAGCACCTCCATCCACCAACATTTTGCCCATCGGCTTCCCATCAACTAAACCTTTTACATATAAAGCCTTCAAGTGCCGAAGCTTGACTAGCTTATCAAATATAGCTTGTTGTATCACTGTCAATTTGGCAACCATCCCCTCATATTCCGATTCATCAAAATCTGAATAGACTTCTTGATCTGCAGGAGCTCTAAATTCTGACAGCAAAAGAAAAGCCATTTGAATATTAGCTGATGGTTGACCCTTATCGGTTGTTTGTTTAACATGCCATACTTGAGGTTTACCAGATTTCTGAGCCTGTTCTAGCTCTCTATTCCTTATGCATTGTACCATTTTTTCTGACTTCTTTTTAAACCTCCTGGACACCATTGCCCTTTCTGCCAAACATACTCTTCCTCATCACCTTCTTCTTCATAATCAGCTCAATTTTGATCAACAACTCGCTTCCCAAGCCGATCATGAACACTTCTAATTTTTAAGCTCTGATCCATATTATCATGGTGATACCCGATTTGAGCATGGATAGATCGGCGGTTGGCTTGAGATTACCTAAATTCTCAATTTTTAAGTGCCGATCCATATTATCATGATGTAACACGTGGCCTCATTGTCTTGTTTCTTGATGTCCCTCCCTGCTCATATCGGCTTTTCTGTTGGTCACGACGTCTTTTAATTTCTTTATATTCATCAGCCGATATTTGTATCTCTAGATCAACTGTTCCAGTTTCTTTTGCCCTAGTTGATGTTAGAACTTTAGTCTTCCCTTTGAGCAACTTAGGATCAACCATATTCTGATCTTTTGGGAAAGGATTATCATCAACTTTCATCTTCTGATGTGTATCAAATTTAAGCTTCCCTTGCTGAATAGCCTTCTATATATGTTGCCAGAAAATTCTGCACTCATTAGTAGAATGAGAAGTAGTGTTATAAAATTGATAAAACTTCTTATTCTTCAACTGATTAGGGGGTAATATGACATGATTGGTGGGCAATTTGATCTACCTCTTCTTAAGCAAGAAATCAATGAGCTTGTCTGATTTTGTGACATCAAAATCATAACTTTCTTTTAACTCCTTTTCCCCAAGGATTTGGAACCATCACTATCTTCTTACCCCAATTCCATTCAACCGCAGCAATCTCCTCTTGGCCCACCATTCGGCAATGTAGGCGTGGTCCTGTTGCGGCAGCTGCACCATGAGATTTTCCCAAGATAACCCTTGGCCCCAAACGGCCTTTGCAAAGGGGCAAAGCAAAGAGAGATGAAGCCCTATCTCCAAAGGTCCATTACACAAAACACAATGTTCCTAATGAGGCCATCCCCTCTTTTGTAGGTTGTCTGCTGTTAGGACTTTGTTGTGCATTAGGATCCAAGCGTGCACTTTGCATTTGTTTTCTGCTTGCGCCTTCTACATGAGTTCATGCTTGAATTTTCGATGGGATCCTCTGAATTGAATCAAGTATGCCGAACATGTGGAGTAAACTCCATCGGCTGTCCACTTTCAAGTGATTGTGTCCTGCACATCAGACTGCAGCTGCACCCCTTGCAATCTGATCCAAAGCCCAATAAATTCTTGGAGCTGTGTTGTTGTTGTCACATACGCCCACAGTGATCGTATCCAATTGCCATTGCGTAGTTCCTGACTCACTGTCCTGTTCTTCCTACGCACTAGTTGGAACATGTGTGGTGCCAAGTATCTAGGCGCCTCTCCGTCAAGCCAACTATGATGCCAGAAGCGAGCCTTGTTACCGTTTTCCGATTGTGACTATGGTAGAGGAGTTGAAAAGGAGGCGGTCTGTGTTGTTGCACGGTACGTCCATTCCCACCCATGGCTTTGAGTCATCTACCCATTCCTGCCACAGCCATCGAAGGCGAAGAGCTCTCCCAAATCTTTCCAGGTCCGGCACTCCCATTCCTCATAGCTCCTTAGGCTTGCACACTGTCGGCCAATTCACCAAGCAGTGTCCCCCATTGGCTTTCTCATCTCCTTTCCACAGGAAGGATCTTCTGATTTTATCAATCTTCTTTCTTGCCCAAGCCACAAGTGGGAACACTGTGAGGTGGTATGTCGGCATCGAAGATAGAACCGTGGTGACCAAAGTTAGCTTACCCGCTCTGTTTAGCATCTTGCCTTTCCAACCTGGTAGCCTCTGGCCGATGCGCTCGATGAGGGGTTGTACATGGACCTTCTGCAAGGATCTTGTATGTAGCTGTAGCCCCAGATAGCGGCACGGGAAGGATTCTCTTAGCCCAGTGAAGGAGGCAAGGACATGGTCTAGGTCAATATCTTGGCATCTAATCGGGTGCACTGAGCTCTTCTGCAAGTTTATGTGCAAGCCCGATATTTTGCTAAACTCATGCAGGATGGTCGTGGTGGCCTCTAGATCTTCCTTGAGTGGGTTAATGAAAATTGTTGCATCATCAACATACATGGAAGTTCTCCATCTTGCTGCTGGCAGGGGTAGGGCGGTGAGGACACCGTGCTGTGTTGCCATGTCTAGCAGGCGCTGTAGCGGGTCCATGGCGAGAATGAACAGCATGGGCGACAGGGGGTCCCCCTGCCGGACCCCCCTCCTATGGCTGAAGGTCAGCCCCTACTGTCCATTTAGCAGCGCTCTCGACGAGGTGGTACGGAATAAGATGGACACCCACTCGCGCCATCGCGGTCCAAAACCTAGGGTCCTGCATAACCTCTAGAAGATAGCTCCAGCTGACCGTGTCAAAGGCTTTGTGGATGTCGAGCATCAAGAATAGGGCCGGCAACTTCATTTTCTGCAAGGTCCGCACCATTGTTTGGACGTAAAGGAAATTGTCGTGGATGCTCCTTTTTTTATGAAGGCACTTTGGCATTTTGAAACTAGGGAGTCCAGCTTGGGCGCTAGTCTGTTTGCAAGAAGTTTGGCAAAAATCTTCACGAAGCTGTGTATGAGACTTATTGGCCGAAAGTCCGTTACTCGAGAGGCATCCGCTTTCTTTGGGAGTTGGATAATGTTTGCTGAGTTCAGCAGCTCGAAACCTTGGGAGTTAAGCATGAATAGGCTATTCAGGGCAGCTGTGACGTCCTCCTGAACAATGTCCCAGCAAGTTTTAAAGAAGGCGTCTGTGAAGCCATCTGGACCTGGTGCTTTATCAGATGGTATGGAAGTTATTGTGTCTTTGATCTCCTCTTGCGTGAACGGTGCCTCTAGCATCGAGATCTCTTGGGACATAGCCAAGTGCAGACCAGTTGAAGGTCGATGACCTCTGCATGACCGAGCCAAGGTGGCTTGAGAAGTAATCTGCAATCACCTTTTCTTTATCACCATGGGTAACAGCTACTCCCCCCTCCGAGTGCAGGCAATGGATGTAGTTTTTCCTCATTCTTGTGCTGGCACGAATGTGGAAAAATTTTGTGTTGGCATCTCCACTGTGGATGTATGTTAGTCTGGAGCGTTGTCTAATTCTTGATTTTTCTATGGCTGCTAGTCCCATACTTCTTGCTTTTAACCGGCAGCGCAAGTCAAATTCATGTGCCGTGAGTGTCATGGTTTCCGGTGCTGCTTCAAGCTGTAATAGCACCTCCTTCACAATGGCAAGTTGCAGCCGTGTGTCTCCAATCTTTTCCTTGCGCCATCTCTTGATGCCTTTTGCCACCCTTGCCAACTTTATATGCAACCGCTTGATAGGCAAGGCAAAGTGGACGGCTCTGTTCCAAACCTGTTCCACCAATTTCTTGAAGCCGTCCATGTGTACCCAAAAATTTACGAAGCGAAAGGACGGGTTGCGGTAGTGCTCAAGCTCCCCCTGCAGAAGGAGGGGTGTGTGGTCTGACATGAGAGAAGGCAGGGAGTGGAGGAAACACATTGGGAAGGTTAATTCCCAAACCGTGGTGCAGAAGAGTCTATCAATCCTTGTGAGTGTCGGGTTGTCTTGTTCGTTGCTCCATGTGAAACGGCGGCCAGTTAGCCCGATCTCCTTTAGGATTTACTATAATTACAATTTACAAGTATCAATATGCCTTCTCCTCTTTTTTTTTGAGGAAATATGCCTTCTCCATTTCACTAAAATCAAATTCTAGGCTTATAGATAGATTGTGCTGCTATCTATGGCTATCATGTTTGTTCTTTGTAAACAGTAGGCTTACATCTGAACTAGGTGTTTTATTAGTAGATGGGTGCTGCACACGCAATAAAACTTCGGGGTTTCAGTAACTCTAGATTCTTACTAATTCACTACAACTACAAAAACACAACCTTTGAGCGTTTAACTACTTCAAGAGCTAATGGGGGAAAACAGAATTATATTTTGTTTACTCTGCTGCATTCAGCTGTGCTCTCCTCATGAAGCATTCTACTTTACCTATCCATGGCTTAGAATGTGATCCCCATTTATAGGTCATCATTCTATATTGCTGGAATCTGTATATAAACTACTGAAAACACCTAGTTCAGATAGGCAAATGCCATTGACTGGAGTTCCTCAGTACAATAATGCACATTCTTTTGCACGTCCTGTTGCAGATTGGAAGAAAACATGGCGGGTGAAGGGTCATTGTCATTGTTGAAGTAAGCTGCATATTCAGGCGTGTACTTATGTGGGCTATGAAGCTGGGGGGATTGCATAGAAGTATAAGTCAAAGTATCACGGTCAAAGTAGTGCTGGCCTTCATCATTGACAGGAGTGCAAGATTCTGCAGGATGTAGCGCTCTGCTTTCTCCTTTCAGGTAATCCATGAACTTATTCTCATAAATATTGTCTTGTTGAGTGCTTGACATCGAATACCCATTTGTGTATCCTTGTAATGCTTGAGCTTTGAGTGACGCCAGCTGTGATTGCAGAGTTACTACCTGTGAGAAGAGAACATTTACATCCTTCAATGTTACTAATTTCTCTGAGGTGCAGAAAATTTTGAAATATAATTCCATCTATTATATGGCAGTTATAGTATATCTGCTCACTATGGATAGATAGCAAAAGTGTAGTTGAAATAGTATTTCACAGCAAGGAACTCACTTACCTGCTGTTGAAGAGCAAATATATGTGCCACACATCCGTATACTGGGTCACGAAGCCTCGCCTGTGCCTCAAAGGAGATGGTGACTGCAGCCTCGCTACGAGCATTGTCTGGGAGATCCATAAGGAGCTTTGAGGCATTGCTTGCACCAAAGACCTTATGAATGGCAGCAAAATGCACAGCCCCTTGGTCATGGCAGAAGTATGGTGCAAAGACACACCCCTTCACGCACTTTCTGTGGAGGAATTTGCATGCACCGCATGAAGAGCCAAACCCTGTCATCACTTTGAATTCCTGGAAATCGATGCTGCTACTGTATTCTTATTCCTTCCAGCTTGTGAAATGAAGTGAATCATCATCCTTCCCCATTTATAATGGATGCTACTATAGCTGTGGGGTTAGCTTAGTCTGTTGAATATTTATTTGACATGGTCTCCCTAATGGATTACAGGCTCCACTGTCCTAAAGCCAGTTACCAATTCTATAATAGTCTGGGACTCCTTTCAGAAACTCTGATCCAACCCAATTAAGTTTGCTTGAAAAATCTTATTTTGGTATAAATTCACTTCAGAAATCCGTGAAACAAAAACAGTAGCACAAAAGGGGAAAATGTGTCAAGCAACTCCCCACTTATATTTTAGGGCAGTTTTTTATGACTAGGTTCCCCTAACCAAACGTGTCATGTTTCTGTTCCAAAAAGAGAAATAACTCAACGCCGGCATATGCTGCCGACTGCCTAAGTCTATCGATAATGCTTGGTTGAGGGCATCCGTCCGTCCGGACGGACTAACCCACCCAGCGTGATGACAAAGAAAAGAAAAAAGGGGGCGCATGTTGCAGTTACAGGGTCCGCACTTGTCCTTTTCCCTGGTCAGTGCATGGGAGCACGTTTGACCTGCCCTCGACCGCCGCGTGATGCAGCAGCCAGTCCGCTAGGCGAGCCAGGGCCCTCTGGTCAGTCCTCCACTTCACCTGTTCCTCGACTGCACAAGCCCCCGCAACGTGGGACTCCGTCATGCGCACGGGCCGCCGGTCAGTGCCGTCTGTCCAGAGCAGGTATGCGGTAGCGCAGTGGTGAAGGTTTTGTTCCCTCTGCATCGTCGTGCTTGGGGCGTGCGTACTCGAGCGCGCGTACCCGAGAGAGAATGGGAGTTCATGAGAGGAACGCGGGGCCCGTGGGTATCGAGCTTCGCGTGTCGACATATGCGTTTCATGTGTATGTTTCATCTAGATGTTGCATGTGTTGCAATGGCAATACATGTATGTTGCAAATGTATCTTCCAAATGTTTCAACTGTTTCATCTGGATGTTGTATGTTTTTATTTAGATGTTGCATATGTTGCAGTGGCTATACGGGTATGTTGTAAGTGTATGTTCCAAATATTTCACTTGTTTCAGACGTATGCTGCAAGTGTTTTATCTGAATGTTGCATATGTTGCAGTGGCTATACACATACGTTGCAAGCGTATGTTTCAATTTGTTTCACCTTGTTTCAGAATGTTGCAGCAAGTGCTGCTCCCCACGTGCTCTGACTCGCGGGCACGCACGCACTGCACTACACGCACCCATCCAGCGCTGCCTATCTCTGTCATACGGGCCAGCTCCAACAATTGGACGTGCACGCAACTCAAACGGCCGAGCACTCTCCGGTCAAAGTGCATACACGCATACATAGCTCCAGAGTGGGCTAGCACCCAACGGACGCAGAACCAAGCGCCCGCTTGGCCCTCATGGTGCAGCATGCAGCTGGATCAACGCTTGGGTACGCGTGATGTGCTCTCTCTCTTTCTCTCGCATGTACCTAGGTGGGCCCCATGCATATGCTATAATTAGTGCAGATGTAAACAGGAAGGAGGAGTATCTCGGTTCTAGGCGTGGGCAGACGCGGAGCGCAGCAGCAGAGGCGGCGCGGGAAGCATGGCCCCAAGTCTATAGCACTATTTGCATCGTGTCCCTTCCCAGTTCCCAGTATCCATGCATCCTATCAAATGCTTCACGGTTTACATTCTCTGTCTAAAAAAAACTTTGGTGTTCAGAGAAAATGAATTTCAGATCAGTTTACTTATAGGACTGAGTATCTTTCAGAGCAGACCATATTTTAGTCCACTCAATGCATAGGACCAATGCAAGTATCTTTCAAATAGAATATATATGTATTCTTTAGTTGCTTTAGATTATTGACAGCTTCTCTCCTATATTCATATCCACTATATCTAGGCATCATTTCTGCACATATCTCGATTAACCATGAAAATTGCTTTCATCTAACCTGTCCTCCCAAATTAAATGCACTTTCCTTGTAAAATGGACTAGTTGATCTAGGTCATCAAGGAACCACTATGCATTATTAACATACTTTTGTATAAGTATGTTTGCCACATAACCACTACATATGTTATGTCTTGTTTGAGACATAGAAGAGAGATGCAATTGTATTCACTTTATTTTAACAAAGAGTTGCTTCCGGCAGTGGGTATATAAAAATATTTGTTTAGTTTTATTGGCTCCTAACTGATACCATTGTAGTCCGGCCAAAACACAACTAATGATGATGAGTGTTCCTATTGATATTTTACACCTTTCTTTTGAATCCCCAATTCTCAAGCTATTTTTTACTTAAAGGAAAAGGAAATTAAACTGATATCAATCGGTTGGTGTCACTATGAGATGACATAAGAAATTCCTTCACGATTAGATAATGGCAACTTGAGTTTATGTCATGCAATGTGACTGTTTATCCACGAGTCTGTAATAAGCTTAGCTCATGAATTAGCATCTTTTGGTTGTAAATTGCCTAGTAGCACTCATGCTACTTGGGATGCTGTACCTCAATTTCTTGAGGAGTTTGTATCCAGCGATTTGGCTGTGACTGAAGAGTAATGAAAGCTCTGTTTCAAAAAAAGAAAACTATTGTACGAGCTAAGCTAGCTAGCTAATCGATGTTTTCAGTTTCAAAAAAAAAAACGAAGGCAAAGAGAGAGAGAGAGAAATATTAACCATAAAGAAACGAAAGCAAGTGAAGTGTATTGGGACCCAAAAGCAGCAGTCACACTACAAGCCTACAGATACCAGAGTGGGGTCGTTGGAAAGCATACTTTGATATGGAGCTTTTGTGAGTATATATGTGTTGAACTCATAATATATGCTTACAACTGCAAAATACAACATTTTCATAAAAGTGAAATGTTCGAGCATATATGATTGCATTCTGCACTTCTCATTGATTTGCTTGTGTCTTGCTGTATAGGTGGCCTGAACATTTTGCGCATTATAAATGTAGGAGCTAATTTTCCAGATTACTGTTAAAGATTGATCATGTCAAGGAAAAGTAATACTATTGAAATGATCTAACGGTGTGCATTGTGTTAGGAAATTTGAAGTTTGCAACAATAATTTCTTTCCCCACACTCCCATAAGAAGAGCTAGGATATCAGTGTGAAGTTTAGTTTAGGTAAACTTAAGTTTAGAGATGGATCACAAATCAGGTTCGGAGAAGATATCTAGTTGGGTCTATCTATCTCCTCTTAAGTCTCAATTTCCAAACCTGTACAACTTTGTTTGGCGAAAATAAGCTATTATAGCAACAACTCTTGCTGTTGTTTTGCTTAGTGTCTCTTTTACCACGGTATTAGTTGGGAATAAGTTGTTAGAGTGGCAAAATCTAGTAGCTGGAGGGAGCTTTTTTTGCCTTTAAAAAGTAATAGTTCCTTCACGGTAAATAAAATGTATAAATATCTTGTCATCACAGGAATCTATGTATCCATGAAATTTGGTGGCTGAAGATAGCACTTAAAATTAAGATTTCCTTGTAGTTCCTGAATCCCGAGGAGGAAGTTAACTCTATCAAAAGATAATTGAGCTTGCTAGCGTCAGACGTCCGGACGGACGGGACGTCCGGACGCCCGCGCCTACGGTCCGTTTCCCACGCTGTTTCACACACCCACGCAGGGCCTGCGCAGCCCCGAACATCACCAGCATCGAGAAGAAGGGGAGGGGACGGCGGATGCCCAGCCGTCACTGGGAGGAGACACCAAGGTGAGGCAACAGAAGGTGAGGAGGGAGATGTAACACCCGATCTACTTTTGAAATATCCAGATGCAACATTTACAACATACGTCTGAAGACAGATAAAAACTTGAAACATTCATCTGAAACACTCATAAAAACACCTGAAAAAGCAAGTTAAAAAAACACCTAAAAACACTCAAGACCATTGTAAAAACATAGGCAACATCTAGATAACACACTTGCAACATATGTGTGAAATATAGCAACATCCAAATAAAAACACTTGCAACATATGTTTGAAAAAATAGATGAAACATTGGAAACAGGAGTTTGCAACATACGTGTACAACCATTGCATTATATGCAGCATCACGATCTACTTTTGCAACATCCATATGAAACAATTACAACATTCCTCTGGAACACTTGAAACATACATCTGAAACACATGAAACATGCAGAGCTCGATGCCGGCACGGAGCTCAATGCCGACGTGGAGCTCGATGCCACGGAGTGGCGTAGAGGTTGCCGATGTGGAGCTCATCAACGGCAAGGACCTCAGTAGTGGCCTCGGATAACTGGATCCTGCCCACGGCTCCATGCTTCGCTAGGCCCCGCTGGCCGCCGCACCTAGCACTCAACTCCGAGGGTACACCGGTCCAAGCAGCCTCTAGCTAGGTCTAGGACGTGACAATGGATGGGGAAGGATAACGGACTGGGAGGGGCGCGAGTCGCTTGACACTGGGAGACAACATCTCGTGTCGGGCTGCAACGGCGGATTGCGATTCGCGGGCGATGCGGGCCAGCGGGTTGGGATCCGTCCGTCTGGATGCTCTCCCTCAATTAAGCATTACCGAAAGATAATTTAGCTAGAAGAAACTAAAATGGTAATAAGTTTTGTGTTTTCTACTTTACCAATGAAATAATTCAATATCTTTTTTTGCCAATAAAATAATTCAATATATGTAGTACTAGTGGGCCCAACGGACCTACTAATAGGCCAACTAAGGCGCCGTTCGGCTGACATGAACGGCAGGTGAAAATCACTGTTTGGAGCTGAAAACACTGTTCACTCTCTCACAAATTCCTCCAGATTTATCTAGATTCCTCCAGATTCATCCGAGCGAACAGGCCCTAACTATTAGCTAGGGGGTTTTAACTAGCAGGTTTTTTTTGGCTCCACCTATGTTAGCGATATATTAGTAGGTGGATCCAAATAGGGTCCCAGATAATAATTAGTTAGCTAATAGTTAATGGCATTAGCTATTAGCTA